GCTCAGGTCAATGCTTCTGCCCACCATCGAGTGATTCTCAGTGCCCAGATTGCCCACTCCAGGCTCTGGCTGAGGGGTAGCTGCCTTCTGCTGGCCTGGACCACCTTAGGGAGCACATACTTTGGGGAGCACAAGTGTTGGGAGAGCACATACCTTGGGGGAGCATACTTGAGCCATCCATGCCCCCCCAGCCACATGGCCAAATGCAGGCTAGGGCACGCCAGGGCAAGACCCTGTCTGCTTCCTACCAGCTGCCTATCATTGGGGAGCCACTGAACTCCCAGTTTCCCCAAATAGATAGAGACAGCACCATCATTTTACAGAACAGAGACATTGATGGTTTCTGTCTCTCTGGGTTTTGTGAGGATTAACTGGATCAATAACATGCAAGGCATGAACAGCAGCAGCTGGACAGGCCCTCACCTTAGAGTTCCCAAGTACAAAGCCGTGGCTCTGTGTGCTGCCAGTTCCCCTCACAAGGCCGTGGGGCTGTCAGCAGCCTCCTGGGAAAGTGAGGGGATCGAGGCCAAGTCTAGCACTCCGTCAGCCCAGAGACTCTTGGTGTAGGTCACTGACACCCCAGCACAAGTCCCTGTTAGCACCGTGGGTGATGGCCTCTCAAGCCCCCTGGTTTTGCTATGAGCATGGGAGGCCTCTCACTACTATCTGAGTCAGGCGCTGGTTGGCAGGAACAGTTGGCTGTCAAGGACTCAGGTGACCAGAGTTTTCTGAACACTAACTCAGAGGTCTGCTCCTGCCATGGGGCCACTTACAAATAGGACGACTCCCTGGAATTTTTGGAAAAGGATATTTTACCACCAAGCCACCGTTATGGCTTTGCCCCTCACTTTGTGGTTACAAATCATGGCTAGTTAACGTTATCACTGACCCTCTGCATCTCTGGGGTTGCTTGGTGGACCTCACAGATAGTGGGGACAACAACTTTAAATTAACAGAATTTGGGGTCTGTGACCAGTTACCAACCAGTCTCAGAGACACACGTGCTGGGCTCAGCACAATTCATTCCCCCTCCATGGCCTGTCTGGGGCGAGTCACTGCCACCGTCCTTTCCTGTGGGTGGGCTGGGTGTAATGGGGGGGGGGGGGCTTTGACCTTGTCCTCCTGGCAGTGTCCCAAATCATCTGGGAACTACTGTAATAAAAAGACTGGCAGGGAGGGGACAAAACATGTCTCCCTGCACAACCCCTTTCTGACCTGGCTGTGATTTCACTCAGCCTTGCAGAGGGTTGAGTAGGTTGGTGGCTGAGGTGCTGACAAAAACCACCCCCCATCCTCACTGGTGGAGCATAGTGGTACCCTCCCGTTACCTGGCAGCAAGGTGACAACCCTCAGGGCTATTGAGGTTTTCTATGGCCAATTTGTTCCATCAGACGCAAAGTGAGCATCTGTCCTGAGTGCCCAAGACTGTGCACTGGACTTCTATTTTGTTTGTTTGTTTGTTTTAAAGAGCTAGGATCTCTGTCACTCTGTCACCCAGGCTGGAGTGCAGTGGCCTGATCATAGCTCTCTGAGGCTTCTGACTCCGGGCCCAAGTGATCCTCCTGCCTCAGCTTCCCAGGGGCTGGGACTACAGGATGTGCCATCGTGCCTGGCTCATTTTTTAATTTTTTGTAGTGACAGGATCTTGTTATTTTGCCCAAGCTGGCCTTGAACTCCAGGCCTCAAGTATCCTCCCTCCTTGACCTCTCCTAGTGCTGGGATTACAGGTGTGAGCCACTGTGCCCATCCAGGACTTTTCCGATTTAAACCAGGACAAGTTGGTTACCCTGGGCAGATTTCAACACGTCTGTTTATTTAGAAAATGATTGCTGGTTCTTTCACAGGAAATTACCAACTGTCGATTCTAACGCAGACCTTACCCTCTATTTGTAAAAGAGTACAGACATATAAATAAATACTTTATAACTTACATCTAAGACCATGTTGTCCGTCAGGTAACTTAGAGATTTGCGGACGAACTGGTCAAATCCTTCTAAGACCATGTTGTCAATGTAGTTGACATAACCCTTCCAGGGCAGGCTCAGGGTGTCTGCCCTGAACAGCTCTGCGTTTTCCTGCAAACACAAGCACACAGGTGGCGGTCATTTCACTGGGTCATCTGTTTGCTCTTTAAACCACCTGCTCAGCGGCTCTCTGGGCCACCCTCGTCCCTGTTCACACGTCATGGACACAGAGGTCTGCTTTGAGCGTCTAGAAGGAATGTGCTGGGCTCTCTCCTGTGCCTGGGTCTCTGCACAGGCTGCTCCCTCCCACTCTTGTCACGTCTGCCAATCTTTCAGGTTTCAGCTCAAATGTCACTTCCTCAGAAAGGCCCTCCTGGAGCGTCCCCTCCATCTCAAGTTGGGTTCCCATCCCTGCCCCCACCTGTATTCCCTCCAGCCATCTGCTCTTTTTGCCCACATGGCACACTGACCACTCTGAATTATTCTCCTCGTTTGTTTTGGTCTGCCTAGATTCATGAGGGCAAAGCTTGACTATCCTCTCCATCACCATATCCCCAGAACTTAACGGTGTCCCTAGGACACAGCAGAAGCTGGAGAATGAATGAATGGGTGAGAGGGTGGATGGGTTGGGGGTTAATGGATAGATTTATGGACGTGTGGATAAATGAGGTAAGTGAATGGATGGAAGGGTAGATAAATAGATGGGTGGGTGGGTTCAGGAGTGGCTGGCTGGACAGATGAATGAATGGGTGGGTGAGTAGATAAATGGTAGTGAATGGATGAATGGATGGGTGGGCGGGCGGGTAGGAGGATGGATGAATGGATGGATTGGTGGGTGGGGGCAGGGAGCGGATGGCTGGCTGGGTGGTGGGGTGGGTGGATGAATGGATGGATGGGTGGGTGGGGGTAGGGAGTGGATGGCTGGCTGGGTGGTGGGGTGGGTGGATGAATGGA